AATTCAAAGCTGCTGGGAAGAAACCTTCTTTATCTGCTGTTATCTTGAGGGAAAAAAAACAGTATCCATCGATCCTGACTCAAGCAGAATGGGTTAACTCGTCCAAGTACATGTTTGATAAAAATTTTATACATTGAATATATAACTTCTCTGAACAGATTCAGATGGTTTACCGCTGATCCGAAGGCATTGGGTGAAGGCTTTTGGAGGTAATAACATCAACACCTACACCCCATCCTCCTCCTGGACAGAGATGACGGCCATGTGTTATTATTCCTTTCTGAACAAAGCAAAAGTCTACCTCCTCTGTTAGTTTTGACCTTCTGCAAATTCTTTGACATCGGTTTTCTCAGACTTTAGAAGAGGGAATTACCTTTCCAAATTTCCAACTTTCCCTATTTTTTTCAGAGCACCAATTCACACCAAAAAACATTCAAGATGAACAAATCATATCCGGAATTAAGGATTCACTCATATATTACAACGATATTTGGAAGTTCATTCCGGCCAGAAAATGAAATTCCAAGAGTAAGAATTCAATCACGAAGCCTTTGAAATTTACCAATTGACTTTCCTTAAACAAATGCAACACACAGAGCACCCTGTTTTGAGAAAAACGGAAATAAGTTATACCATCTAATTTTCTGTCTTTAATTGGTATCATGTAACTGCAACCAATTTCAAGAGGTACCTTTTCTTACCAAGTCCTTAAGAAACTAATTCCACAGAAACACTCCATAACAGGGTTTTCTTTTACACAACCATTGTTAGTTCCTTAAAGGGAAATCAACTTAAAGCCTCCCCAGATTTCAAATCCAGGAAGAGAAACATGCAAATGACACAAGACAGGATCTTGGCAGTCAACGAACGAAAACACAAATAAACACATCACAAAGAATTAACAGTTCAGAGACTATGGACACTGAATGAATTCACATCCAGACAGAAATGATTTATTACCTCAATCAAACACAAAAGCTGGTCTCTTCCTCCTTCTCCTACAACTTTGAGAACATTTTCTTCCTTTAACCATAGTGAGAGTGAGATGTCTAGATAGCTTTCCATCCAATGATTTACATTCCAGAACCAGCAGCTTGAGTACACCGTCACAACATTATGTTGGTGTTTTGATTTCCTATGTGATTACCTTTTATTCAACTATCGGTCACATTAGCTCAGCTTTTTCTCATCAAGTCCTGCCCGAGGACGGCCTCTCTCAGAAGTCCATCTCTCAGGGCTTGTAGCTTCTGTGCCAAGCTAACTTTCAACAGTCCAAAAGATCATGACTATGCCCTGTAGCTTCACACAACTAATTCACTGTCTACCACCCTTTGACTCACTGGACCAATGGAATGGCTAAATGAATTCACTCAACACCTGGAGTATACCTGTAGTATCAAGGTGGGTCATTGTAGATATTTCTCTCTCTACCTCTCTCTCTCTCTCTTTCTCTCTCTCTCTCTCTCGCTCTGTCTCTCTCTATCAGCTGAAGATAATAAAGAGTGCACTTTTATTGGATTCACTTTCCAGGTTTCACCCTGTTGTTATGCTGGACGGTGGCCAATGTGACCCCCCCCCCTCTGCCAGCACAGCCTTCTGCTGTTCTGCAGGCAGCGCAGGCAGTCAATGTACTGTTCACCTCCTTTGAATCTTGCACCTCCTGAGGCAACATATAGAGGCTGGTCAGCAGAATCCACCCTTTTGGGCACCACTCTTGCTTTGCTTTGGAAAATCTACTTCCCCCAGACAGTCCTTCTTGGCATGGAGTAGTCATGTGCGATTTTGCTCCAAATCCCCCCAAAAGTCATGGGGACCCCAATCCAGCCAACCAGCTTGCTTGCTCACCGAACCCATCGTTTACAGGATAAGTCTGGGATATGGAATGTTTCCCCAGCATAATATCCTCCTTCTTGAACATTTTCCTCAGACCATGCCCGTAGTACCCAAGTGTATTGTTAGGCTGAAAGTACCTAATGGGTTCTTTATGCTCTGATCAAACTGAAGACAAGAAGATACATGCACTTCAAAACAAATTTATTAGCCTAAACTACTTTTATATATTAGAGACATATGCAAATCAGTGAGTGAATCTATTAGCTTAAACTACATAATTCACATCTAAATATAAACAAGTGAGTCTCACACTGCCTTCTATCCATCAGAAACTTTAGTGACAGTGGCACTCGGAGTTCTATCTCAGATTCCATGGCACTGGTTTCACGATCCCTAACCAGATGGTGAAAAATCCAATGAGTGGGGACAAGTCCCTGATATTAATACTATCCTGAATCTAAGATTACTTGCTGAATCACCATTTCATACTACTTTCAGTACATTTCCAGACATTCAATTGTGCAGAAAACAAATTGAAAGATTTCCCGGTGGCTCCATAAAAAAAATGTTGCCCATAGATAATCATAGTTATGCAGTTACCTCTTAGCCAAAACAGGCATCAAACCAATTTTCATGTATTTTTCCACTTTGCTTCAATTGCTCATTCTCATGATCAATTAACCCTTAATGATTAATCCTTAATGATCTGGTTTGAAGATATCATTTTTAAGCCCAACACTACACACTCAAATAAAAAAAACTAACAACAACAGCTCAACATGATGTGGAAAAGTCAACCAGTTGAAACATTGAATATTATAGCCAAATAATTTACTTTGTTTAGACACTCACCATGGGAAAAACACTCCTCAGGGAATGAACATCACCTTAGGAATGCGTAACTCCTTACAAATTGATAATAAGAACTCACATGTGCATCAGAGAAATAACTGAACATTTTAGAGATAATGGATGAATTGCATACGCAGTGACTGATGAAAGTGGGACTGACTATAATTAATACACTGTTCTGTTAATGAATTACAATTTCCTTTGCTTTGTGTAATATATGAGGCAAATGGGTAACATGTAACTGCAAATGGCTTTGGAGAAGTGCATTTGTGAGTGATGTGTTGAATGGTTTATCATAGCGATATGACATCCATCTCTGCTGTGTTGCTTCAACTTTTATTTGAGGCTGCCATTAAATACATTGCATGAAGTGTAGTTGAAAATGATAGAATTATAGAATTCAATCTATTCATTGCTGTTAGCATACATATTTTCTTTTAATCTCCTATTCTTTTATTTTCTGTTCTTGCGCTATGATAAATAGATCACTGCAACATTTTCTGTGATTGTTATTGATTGTGGGGACATGAGCAACTTTGGATTCTAAGATATATAAATAAATATTTTACTTTTAGAGGGAGTTAATAGTCCACAGATTTGAATATATGTGAGAATTACATATGCTTAATGTAAATTATGAAGACTTAGGAAAATGCTTAATGAGCAAACAGGAACAAGAAAAAGAACTAGCTCTAAACCTAATTTTATCTTCTTTATCTCTCTTCTTCAGTCCAGGCAGACCCCAGAAGGAGAATTCCTGCCCTTGGATCAGTGTGAGTTGGATGTGGGATTTGGGACTGGTGCGGACCAACTGTTTCTGGTGTCACCTCTGACTATCTGTCATGAAATAAATCCTAAAAGTCCTTTCTTTGACCTGTCTCAACGATCCCTGAGAAGTGACCAGTTTGAAATTGTGGTGATTCTGGAGGGAATTGTTGAGACTACCGGTGAGTCTGTTGTACATCTGTGCAGCATTGAACTGTTTCATTTCTTCTTTACCTTTCAAATAATGCAGACAGTTATTTTTTAACAAACTCCCTAAAAGTTTACAAGATGATATCTATCCCAGTACAGGCTATTTCTCCCTTGCTCCCTTCCATTTTGGAAGCTGTTTAACTTTGCTCTTTTGTGCTGTTTGATGGAGAAGATTATGTAGTGCTTTTGCTACTGCAATATTTTGAAAGAAGCACACTAATGATCTTGTTCTTTGCCACTCCTAACCTCTTGGAAGTGCTTAACTAAGTTTACTTTAACTAAGAATTTTTGAGATGAACGGGGGTTTTCTACTGCTCTGGTGCAATTTAATGAAGTAGCATAGAGTTGTGTTAGTAAAGACTCCATCAGTTCGAGTTACCCAAAGCCTGGAGATGATGATAAGTAATTGTATGCTTAGTATATTTGTAGCAAATATTTTAACTTTCCTTTTTGGACTGGAATCTTCTGATAACATCTTAGTAAATGCTCATAGAGAAATTGCTACTGTGTCAATGTTCAGGAATTCCAGACCTCAACCTGTTGTGGGATGGAGAAACATCACCACAAGGGAATCCAGTGACTCAAGGACATATCTCACCATTGTTTTCATTCTGACAATTTTATAAAAAAATATATTGACCTCTGTAATTCCTTTTACAGTAATGTCATTACGGCAAACTGAATGCCCCTTGATATTTTCACAAGTTACACCAAAAATACCGTTAGAATTATTGCTTCAGACAGAGAGAAGAAAGAAAGACTTACACTTATACAATGCCTATCTCAGGATGTCCCAAATAAATTTACAATCAAACAGGTACTTTTAAAACTATGTTTCAATAGTGGTAAATATGGACTATGAAATTTTAACTTCCACCATTTGATTGTTATAACCAAGACCTTTTAATTGACTTAAATCATCGCAGGAAAAGCACAAATGCTGTCCTAAAATGGTGTTATCATCACCTGATCACAGATGAGGCAAGTTCTGGGGACTAATGTGGAATAAATATATCTGTCTGCACTGAAATTACAGGTTTATGTAATGACGTCAAAACCAAGCCATTCAGTCAGCATCAAGACATTTATATCTCCTATTTTAGTTCATACTTCTATGGTATTTTAAAACCTGGGAGATAAATAGCTCCCTTGACAATGGAATCAGACTTTGAAGTAAATAAACAAATTTATATTTCATATTTCAATAGTTGTTTTTGAGCAACAGAGCAGAGAGAAGGCAAATAAATGTGTAACAAGATGAACTTCATGTCTGTCTCCGTGTTTCTTTCAAGCTCTTCGAATACAACACCTCATTAACAAGCAAATTGGGGAAACAATGATTCACTGAGAATTGAAAGATACCCACAACTTCTGCAACTCCTGAGATCTAAATCAATAATTAAATACCTATGGTTTCAAGTTAAAATATTTTAAACGACTAAGGGGCATTTAAACTGCATAGCCAGTATTCTTCCTATTTGAACCAGACACACTCCTTTTTAACATATTAACTGAGTTTGTGTATGTTTGAAGCTGTGTCTTATTTTTTTTTTCCTCCAGGTTAATGGGTAATAAAATTCCTCTTTCCTTCCTTCAAGAAAACCTCATAATTGACTCATTCATAATGAACTAGTTAACTACAAGTTTTAATTGAAGTGTGGTAGCTGATTGCTAAAAAGAAATAAAAATATTTGATGTAACCTACGGAGAGGTGTTAAATGAGTGGAGTTGAATTCCCTCGATTATAACCAGAATAATGTTGTGCTAGTATGTGTAGGATTGTATCAAGTTGGATTTTGTATTTTGTTGCTTAATTTTACAAGTAGTTTTCTGCTGCTTTCGACCAGAGTGTTTTGTCCTGCAGCCAATTTAAGCTCTGCTGCTGATATTAGTATTACCAGGTCCTCTAGCCACAAAATGACTGTGTGCATCTCACAGGAAGTATACTAGTGAGATGTTCCTGAGAGCGAAGTCTTGATTTATAAAGAAATGAGGTTTCTCTGCTGAACAACAGGAGCTTTTTCTTTTTGCTCCTGTCTAGCTAGTTCACAAGAATAAGCCCACGTAACAAAATAACAACTTGGAGTAAAGTAATTCACCACTGCTCTTCTCCATTTCATCAGGTACAGTACTGGCTGTAATTACTGCTCACATTTACTGTAACTATTTTATTCTCTAATAAATAATTGCTACCCAGATTTGCATAAGAACAGACAACCCTCAATTTGCAATTGATTGGTTGACATCTTAGCCTGGGCCTCATTTTAATTCTTGAAGTGGGTGTGTTTTGAACGGGTTGTAAGATCAGACCCTGGCCTTTTACATTTCAGATCTCTGAAAACTAAAATAGGAGCTCATTTAAGGAGCTAAACTGCCTACATATATAGAATATATTAGGGACTGTCATCCTTCTTCCTAAGAATGAATGTAAAAATGTAAAATGAGAGCCATGTAAAATACAGTACAAGTAGAGCTTTGAAAAATAGAGCACACTAATTGCACCTGACTTTTATGTCACTCAAATGCTTTGGAAAAGATTCCAATTCAAAGCAATGACATGAGTTCATGCTCAAGCAAGCTAGCTTCTTCATTTACTAATTAATATAAAATACCAATGGTCATGCAAACTTGCAGTGAACGAACTGGGAAAAGTTACATGCATCAAAGTTCTGTTGCAATTAATTTTTCTGACCTGAGATAGGCACAAA